AATATTTTGTAAAAAAATATTTTGTTTTATATTTTCTTTGCTTCAAATAATATTTTTTTAGTGTTTTTAATTCATTTGATATACTGATATTAAAAATAATTTTTTTTAAATAAAAAATATTATTTTAATATATTTTTAAATAAAAAATACTTTAAAAAACAATAACTATTATAATTTTAAATAAGCTCACAATCTTAACCAGGAGAATGTAAATATTCTCTCACAAGTATAAGTGTATAAGTGTATGTATAAGGATTAATAACACATGTTAAAGAAAGGATGGAATGGAGATAAATACTCATTGAACCAATTGGTCTCTATGATTGAATCACCCATACATAAGTTAGAAAAAATCAATCAAGGAAGAAGAATTTAGTCCCACTTTCTTAACCATCAAATAAAAATATCATAAGTATCAAATGATAAGGATTTTAAATTAAGTACTTCCCATGAAATGAAAAAAAAAGAGAATAAAATCACATGTACGCTCCATAAAAACCCAACACCAACATTTAAAAATAAATATCAAAATTCAATCTCATTAAAAAAAGAAAAAAATCAAAACAATCCAGAGAAAAATCACATGACCTCGAGTTTGACATGAAAAAAGGGTGTGAACTGTGAAGTTATTAGGTGAATTTAAATTAATTTTTATATTAAAATCATGTTGTTTTGATTTTTTTTAAATAAAATTTCTCATGTGTTGATCTCATCAAATTTGATAGATTATATTAGGTTTTGTTTGTTTTCGTAGTGCATGGATGTTTTTGAAAAAAAAATTAATTTTATAGTATTTCAAAACTATTTTATATACTGATATAAAAATAAAGTTTAAAAAATAATAAAAATATTATTTTAATATATTTTTAAACAAAAATTATTTTAAATAAAAATAATCACTGCAAGACTAACCCAAGTTTAATAATTATGGTACCAAATGCAAGATATGTCCAAAATGCAAAGTTTGATCGTTAGGGTATGTTTAGTATTATGGTAGCTGTTATAGTCGTGATTTGAAAAAAATTATTTTATAAAAAATGTTTTTGGTTGAAATTAATTTGGTATTTAGATATGTTTGGTTAAAACTATGGTTGAAATTAAGTGAATAAAAAATAGTTTGATGTGTTTGTTTAATAATGCTTTTGGAATTGAAGTTATAAAATAATTTTAAAAAATATATATTAAGATTGATGGTTTTTAATTTAAATATTGTAGATTTAACTATTGTTATTATATTATAAAATAAATAATATTTTATATAAAATATTTTTCATTATTTCATTAAACTATATACAATTCCATCACGTATGAAATACTTCTGGCAAGGACTATAATTTTTTTAATTTATTAAGTGTGTAACAATATCCAGTAAAATATAATCAGAAATAAAATTAGAATTGCAATCAAATTCTGCAAATACTACATCATCAAACAATCTTTGTAGAATTTATGTAGTATCATTAAATAATATTAAATAATAATTTTTCAAATAAAACACAATTAAATTTTTTATTTTTATTTTTTAATTAATTGGGTCAAATCCGGTTTAATCCATGTTGAGCATTTCAAATACAAAAACATCATGGGACTCAAAAAAACAAATTATTTTTTTCTTTAACAGACAAGTTGCATTTGGTAATTGAAATGGAAATCATTAACAGAAAAAAAAAAAGAAAAAAGAAAAAAAAATCCCATGGCTCTACCTTGGAATCAAAGCAAAGAAGTTTAATATCTTCTCACAAACCCCAAATGGAGTTTAACTCTTGTACTCAAAACCAAAACTCGTCTCCATTTAACCATTGATATACAATACTATTAGATTTCTATGAAACAGTATAAATTCTTCAAATGGTTACTAACTCTTCAATGGTTACTCTAAATTTACCCAAAATTCATAATAAATTACAACAAATCTGAGATTCAAGTCGATGTAATCTAAGATAACCCAAACTTGAAATAGCTCTTAAAAACTAAACATTGTCCGCTCAAAGTTTGGATGTACTAGCAAATTCATTAACAAATTCTTATATCTTCAAGAAACAAGAAAATCTTAATTTTCTCAGACAAAATAGAACTAGATATTTTTCTTTTCATATTTACTCTAGATATCAGTGTAGAAAAAATGAACTAAAATAGAGAGATGGGATGCGAATCTGTTAAATTAAAGCTTATTTCTTTAATAAGAAGGAATGAACAAGAGAGGGGGAAACCAGAGACGAAAGGATCTCTGTTTTTGTCAAAGCGACCGCTGCTAGCATTCCTCAATGTGTAAAACCCGTGCTTTCTCGATCTATTGCAATAACTAGATCAAGAATCAGGCCCAAGGCATGGAAACTAAATGACAAAGTTCTCTGAAAGTTGTGGTTCTCATAGCCCTGCCCTTGAAAGTTGAAACTGCTGGCTTTGATAAAATGCATGACATTCATAGGCATCCATATTAAAAAAAAAAAAAATCCTGATCATGTAATGAAAAGAAAAGTGGTTCGGGGCAACCAACCTTAAAAGAAGAAGTCCGAAGCAATTCTACTAGTCCGTGAAAACAGAAAATGACCTCAACCTTGCTACCAACTAGAGAAAAATAAAGCATAGCATCTTCTACTTATATCACGATTCCTATCATTGTATGGACAACTTTCCTATCATAGTATGGACATTGTGAGGACAGCTTGTAGTATCACTTAAATGCCCACTGGTTGTCTCTGCGGATCTGCTGTTCTTCCTCTGGAGTGAAGTCATTCTTGATGTTAAAAATCTTACGGATCTCGTCTGGAGTCTTCCCCTTGATCATGTCAGCCGCAGCTTGGCAGGTCAGATCTAGCAAATCCTTGATGTTCAGATAGTTTGCAGCCTGAAATCAACATAACTTCGCCATGTTAATTCAGATAAAGTGTCTAAATAACAAAGTCATGAACAAAAAATAAAAATAAAGTAGCTTAACAAATCATAATCCAATGCGAGAAGCACTGAATAGGAGCACTGGGTTCGTTAATCAAATACAGAGAATTTCACAAACTAAAGTGTTGAAGCATGAACATAAAACAAGAAGCAAACAAGAAGCTCACTATCCATCATATTTCACAAACAAATAAATCTACCAAAAACAGGCAAAATTGCCACATTACAGTTGCAAACAACGCGCCAGTTATCTATCAAGGCATCAGTTCACTTTGTATCCACTGTTCATCTAAAAGAACTAAAAAAACTAAAAATCATTTTCTTATTCCGTATAACATTTCCATGTTTCCCTGCGTAAGAGCATCATAATAGTTGAAGCAGATAGACAAGAGAAGAAATCCAAAGTGTGGGTACAAATCAGTGAGTTAAAACAAAGCTCTCACAACGTAGCACAATCCCCAGAAAAACAATGCAGAAAAAAAACCCCTAACCCCAAATCAAAACAAATAAGTATCATAACGAATGGCAATATCGTGAAAAATATAGCAAAGCTAAGGTCAAGTTTAAAACATTTTCTCCCATAAAAAACTAAACCCTAAAAAGCAAAAAGATACGATCTTTTAACCAATAAAAAACAAATAGAAACCCAAAGAATGGCAAAATCATAAAAATTCACAAAAAAAAGTTTAACAAAAAATATCTTGAAAAAAGGAAATAGAAAGTCTTACCAAGATGAGGTCAAAGAGGGTGTTTTTGTCAACTTTGACGAACTCGGAATCCCAACTCTTCAGAAACTCATCCTTTCCAGTAATAATCGCATCTTTATCAGCATCAGCTTCCACATGTTTCTTGCAGTACTCGATAACCTTAGCAAGAATCTTGCCTGTCACATTAGGCAACGGGATGTCACTTTCGGCGCAATCATCTTCAATCATATGTTTGATGGTCTGTGACTCAACGGCGACCGCTTCTTCGACAACGAATGTCTCGCCGTCGGAGGATTTTAGCGTGATTTTCTTTGATTCTGACATATTGGGAAAGAACTTGGAGAGAGGAAAAAACCCTAAACTTAGTTTTTTTAAAGAGAAATGAAAAGTGAAAATAAGGATTGAGGGTGAAAGGGAATGGTGCTGTTTTATAGAAGTGTTTTGGGAGTGAAATGGTGTCGGTTTTGGAATAGTGTTTGTTTAGGATTCGGATGTGGTAACCAAATTACCTTTAGATCCTTCCTTAGTTCACAAGGAAAAGGCGGGCTTATTTGAGAATCCTATGTAAATAAGGAGAGAACGAGGGTGGTTTCAGGATTTTATTGTTCTTACTTTTCTTTCTTGTTTAATTATATGATTTGATGAGGAAATTTTGTTTGGTGCCAGAGGCCGTCGTGAGCACCGTTACTGAATCCAGCCTGGGTGGGTCGACATGCAACTAAGTTGATGCACTCTTCGGCCAGGCTAAATGGTAAAATAAAAAATTTGAAAAGACAAATCAAACTTGCGACCATTTGCAAGACAGCAAAGGAATCCAACCACTACTGCCTCTCGAAGCACCTCGTCCATGCTGGCTGCTCTTTTCCAAGTAACCGGCTGCTCAACGTTAGCTTTTAGGAATTCACCATAGGCTTCAATTACAAATTAAGCATGCTACTATGAGCCAGCACAAAGACGAATTGAGAACTAAATAGTTCTGATAGACTGTCAGATGCATGCCTGTAACAAACTTCTCTAGGCCAGTGGATAGGTAGAAATCATAGTAAATCAGATTCATTTTGAACCCTTCAACCTGTTGTGAAGAAGGAAAACATGTATATAAACATGTGTTATACGATTTCACCACCGTTCATTCGTTGCATGTTTCACCAAATGAAATTGCATTATGAACTGGACTGGAACGTCTCCTGCCTTTGATTTTCTCTTCAAAAACACATCGATGCTCATATACGTGCAATTTTCCTGTCAACTCTAATCAAATTGACTTGCTAAGCTTGATATGTAAGTCCACTAAACAATCCAATGACTCAGAAATTCACACAACCACCAGGAAAAATGTTTGGATAAGCAATGGTTAGAGTCGTACAGGTGAGGAAGCCATCCATCATACAAGCCTTCCCTCATGAACTGGTCTGCTTCAACAATTCTTCTAGCAGCAGCTAAAGAAAGTGATGCTGCCAACTCTGCAGTTGTCTCTGTAAGAACTCCCTAACCAAATAACCAAGGTATCAATCTCCATTCATTTTCCCCGTCAAGTACTCAAAACTTGCTCAGAGCATGTACTAAACTTACAGGAGTGTTTCCAACAGCGACACCATACTTTTTAGCAGCACTAACATCGACGTTATTATAACCAACAGCCATGTTATTAAAAGCCTCTCCACCTGCCCTGCTTGGTGCTGTGAACAATGTCTCCCCCCGATCTTATGTCAGCTGAATCACAAAACAGTACAAAAGAACAATTCTTAAACATGTCCACAGCAATTTCCAACATGATCCTACGTGAGAAATTAATGAAATACCTGGCCTATTACACCATCACACTTATCACCAATTAGAGCAACAATATCTTCAACAGACAGTATTGTTTTCTTCTGGGTGCATATCTAGTAGACGTTAAAACCAATAAAAACAAAAGTCTATCAGATCACAAAATCATTCAAGAAATGAAAAAAAAAATAGTAGATTGGTTGGTGATTGGGTGTGATTTCTGTGGTGGAATTTTCGGACCTTCTGTTTGGTATAAGATAATGATGACAAGGGTTGCTTTTATGACTTTTGTTCAATGATAGATATAACCCAGACTGTTTGGACAGTGCTAGCTTAAAGTTCCTTTGATACGGTCCCTCGGCGAATTCTCAACAAGCCATGACAAAAATGAACCTTTCGTGGTTCATTTGTCTAGAGGCTAGCCCATTGTTTTAACATGAATCATGGGTCGACACCAGCGTCAATTGGACTAGGCATGGTTCTGAATTGAGGCTTGAGCCATCATAAACTACTTTTGTGTGTGGTAGTAATAATGGGCCGTGGCTAGCCCTTTTTGGGAAGCTGTCAGATCAACAATCAAGTTGCTGATTAAATTGCTTTGGTCACCACCATATCGACGAAGTTTACGATGAACGACGTAGCGGTGGTGGGGTTTTTTTGTTCGTCGTGGATGCCTGTGATTTCCACGGTAGGTATTTTACATGCTTATTAAGTTTATAAAATATTGGATTATAAAATTAATTATATTGCATGTAAATTTATCCGAATACTTATATGAAATATTTTAATTTAAAAAATTATTAAATTTATATTTTTTAAGTGGTTTTTTATAGTTTTGATATATAGATATTAAAAATAAAAAAAAAATGAAATTTTTATTTTAATATGTTTGTAAACAAAAAAAAAAACTATTTTAAACAAGATTTTGCATCATGATATTACCTTTAATTGAATAGAATTATGGAAAAAAAAATCCTCCAAATGCTAAAAACAAGAACGCCTTCTCATTCCAGCTTTTTTCACCACGATCCAAATCGAGCCCAAAGAATTTGACTCTTATTTTTTTTTTTTTTCCATTTCTTCTCCGCTGTGAAGAGATGCAAGTCACTGGGCAAATGCACCGATTTATGGGACCATCATTGCAGCACGCCCCACACGAAAAATGGAAAAGTCCAGAGTGGACTGGTGGTCCAACCCAATTACTCTGATCAGGTCTCTTTCGAGCGTGTGCCGAGCGTGTGCCAAAGAGAGGGAGCCCATGCGCCAGCATGAGCCGCTCTGTCTTTGGACTTTGATTGATGTGTTCATTTTCCGGGATATTTATGAGTTCGGTGGGTTCTGTTTCTGAAGTGTTTATTATTTAAAAATAAATTAAAAATTTTTGAAATTATTTTTGATATAATTATATAAAATTTATCTAAAAACAGAAAAAAATCTAATTTCAAGTAAATAAAAATATTTTAAATTTTAAAAAATACCTTTTAAATACAAATGGCATCGTGTACTCTTTCATACCTTAGACCCAGCTAATTAGAATTTAGAGATAACTTTAAAAAATCACTGAAGCGAAGGAAAACAACAAAAATAACGAAATGAATTTGTTTTTAAAAAAGTGAAACATCGCTGGTTCAAGCTAAAAGCCAATTAGGGTTTGGAAGTGAGTTTTAACCCCTTTTTATATTTAAAATAAATCTTCAAAAATAAAAAAATAAAAAATATTAAAAATAAATTTTTTTCCAATAAAAATCATTAAAAACAAAAAACAATCATTAGAATCTCTAATCATCCACAACATGGCCCCCACGTTCCCTTTATCTTTTTGTCTTTTTTTATCCTCCACTTCTTTCCCACCAAGCTCTAACTTCTTAGCTAAAACCTATCTCACTCTGTACGTGCTTTCTTCCCATAGCCGCCGCCTCCTCCACCCACCCTACCAAACTGCCATGTGGGTTTTGTTGTGCGTAAAAGCGATTAGATAAACATCAATTTGTTAACCACAATGTCTGGGAGCGGAAAGGGAAACTATAGAGGGAGGAGGAAGGTTCTTTGTCGAGGGCACTACTGTGGCTGCAATGAAACCACTAGTTTACTTAAAGAATAATAGTCAATGATGATATCTTGACGGTGGCCTTGTAGGCAGATTGATGGTGGCCTTGGAGGCAGACAAACGATGAACAGAGATAGATCAGTCATGAGATAATGTTTGGAGAGCTCCATGAAAGATGAGGGGGAAAAAATGTAATTTTAATTTAAAATTTTATGTTGGTATACGAGATTTTAATATATAATTTATATTATGTTTTAAAAAAATCTGAAATTTACACAGATTCTTTATTGTCTTGTGTATAATGTTTAATTTTATTAAATAAAATAAAGTAGTGAAATATAAATTTATAATTTTTTTATTAATAACATTTTTACATCATATTAAAAATTGTTTCAATTTAATATATAATTTTTATTATTTTTTAATAAAATTAATACAAAAGATATAAAATTTAAACTCGTTTTATCAATAAAACCTCCGTTATCATGTTCTATTCCTAATAATCCCAAAATTTCAATTTTCAGTTAATAAGTTAACCAAAACTTTATCCTCAACAAACCCCTCATTCTTCCCTTCTCTCTGCAAAATATTTACCTCTCCACAAACACAGAGAGTTCATGGAGAGGCTTCTGTATTCTTCTTCTCCTACTCCTCTAAAAACACACTTCAAAAAGCCCACTCCTTTGCTTCCTAGACTCTGCAAACTTGAGTTGCCGAAACCTGGTTTTCCCTCTTTGACAAGGCCGGAGTTCAGGAGAGTCAACTCGGTCTCTTGCAAACATGAGAACCCATCAAACCCATTTATTAAATTGTCATCCCTGTCTCCTCATAAGGTTGATTCATCATCTGGGTCGACGCCAAAATCCCACCTTGTGAAACAGATCGTTGATGGAGTTTCTGTGAAGTCTAAGGTACTGAGTTTGTGTAGTTTTTTGGGTAAAGTTTTGTTTTTTATGGAATCAATTATTGATTTTTGTGTAATTTTCCGATTTAACTGAACAAATGAGTTGATTTAGCTATGCTGTTATGACTAGGAGGCTTAAGATATCACTAACTTATGTTGTCCTTGAATGGATTCCATGAGAAATCATAATTGAAGATTTTGAGGCAGTTTACATTGTACAAAGACTGATCCTTTCATGGATTTTTATTTTTTTAGCGGTGATAGACTAGTGCTTTCCGGAGTTTTTAATTAAAGGGGGGAATTGTGTTGATAACTCGATATCTAGCTTTAAATGTCATGATAGGAAGGCTTAGATATCACTAGCTTAAGTTATCCTGGAATGAATTAACATAAGAAATCATAGTGTAATAATTTGAGACAAACGTTTTTTCAGAAAAGATGGGTATTTTTGTCAGTTTTTCATTGATACTTAGATATGTCTGTTGCGGTTGGAAGGTTTTAAATGACATTAGAATGAAATCATAATTGTACATTCAGGACCTGATATTGTTTAAATAGTGGTCCTTTTTTGGATTCTTAGTGATGATGGACTAATTGCTACAAGGATCGAGGATTGTGGAATGGCAGTGCGGGGATGGAAGATTTGGTGACTGATGGACTGTTTGTAAAATAAAGAAGGGGAAGAGAAGGGAAGGAGAATTGAAATGCTGAAAAATGAATAATTTTTGCGTGTTTTATGTGAAACTGGACACACAGGCAAGAAGCATGGTGTTAGTGCTTCAACATGATCACAATGGGATTTAAATCTGTCATCTATTATGCTTAGCTCTTAAGGCGGCATTGTGTTGTGATTTCTGTTCTACACACTGAAATGTGTGAATCCCCGGAGTTGCAATTGATGCTGGATTCCACCACATGTTTGAGACTGCTTTACTTGAAATTATTCTAGGAACATAAGTTGTATTGCTTTAGTTATAGAGAATTGACTGTTTGCATTGTTTTCTGAAAAGTAAGCTCAGATTGAAAGGAGTGGAGTCTTGACTGAATATGCAATTGCCACATTCATAAGGAAAATTGTGCTAATCGTTATCTTTGCTTATTATGATGGGAATGCTTTAAAGGTATCTCTAGCTTATATTATCCTTGAATGAATTCCCATGAAAAATCGTAGTTGAATAAATTGTGGAAATGATATTGTAAAAAGTGCAGTCCTTTTGATGGATTTTTGGTGAGATAGACTAATATCTTCTAGGTTTGAGAAATATGGATTTTGGTGGTATGGAAGTGGAAAATTTGGAGTAATAACGAGCTGTTTATGTAAAGTAGTTGAAAGGGAAAGGGGGATTGCTGAAAACTAAATAAATATGCCCGTGTTTGATATGAAATTGGAATCATGGGTAGATAGCATGACTTCTGTTCTTGAAAATAATCACCACAGGATTTAAATATGTAGTTTATAATGCTTTCATTTTAAGGCAGAATCGAATCAAGTTATGTTTATACACCGAAATGCTTAAACCCCTTTACTTGTTAATTTGCTTTCTCGGGTGACAGTGATAGCACAGGTAGAAATACACTGCATTGCAAAAACTGCTTTAATTCCCATTATTGTAGAAGCTCAAGTAAGGTTGCATCAGTTCTAAGTAATTCATTGTTTACATTTTTTTGTGAAATCATAAACTCAAATTGAAAGTTGTTGAGTCTGATTGGCAATCTTTTGATTTGTCATCTTCACAGAGCTGCATTTTGATCATATTCCTACCCATCACTCTTCTCTTTTCATATCTGTAGGAGTTTCTAGAGAAAATTTGGTTTTGGTTCTTCTTTTTGCTTGTAGGTAGTCCTGTTTGATGTGTCAAGATTAAATTGTGATTTCATGTTAAGTCTAATTATCTAAATGCAGAAGGATCTAAGCTAAGCTGAATATAGGCCTTCATAAATTGTTGATTTATCATTACTTGTATTTGATTGCTCTTTCAAAACCAAAAAAAATATATATATATTGCTTTAAAAACTTGTTTCTTTATTTTTTCAAAGCTTCAACAAAGCAATGGCTAGAAGCACTTCAAGATTACTTTTATGTTTGGAATCAAGTAGATTTGGGTAATTATGTCTTGCGATCCCAGCTATTGAGTTTGCATCTTCTTTAGGTAATTAGGACTTGAACCTCATCCTCTTTGCTGAGCAAAATGAAACTATTTGTTGATGTTATCAATGCACTTTAGACATTTTATCAGTGCCTGGAAACAAGGTACCTCTTCCCCATCCTTACTGAAACCTTCCAATTCATATCTCACCTATTGTTATAGCTCTGTTTATTTCTTGGTTTTTGGACCTTTCAGTTCCAGTAGAAAGGAATTTCAGACTCTTCTTTGTGAATTTAGAATTTGAAAATGCCTACTGTCCTTTAGAACAACTAAAGTAGAGGCAGTAACACGAGAACCATCAAAACCCTGATGGTTGTAAAACACTCCAAGAATGCCAGGTGGGTTTGAATGCCCAAAACACTAAACTATTTTGATGAAATTTTAGATGGTTTACTGGATTTTGTAGTTAAAATTCTATCTTTTTTTGTTCAAAGTTGCTAAATCTGTTGTATTCTCTAAATGCTGCAGGCAGCTACCGTTGGGATATTCATGGTAGTTTCTGCTCTCATCATGTTAATCCACCCAGTTTTTGCATTGCCAGCATTTGCAACCTTCCAAACTGCTGCCCAGACTGGAGGGCCTGCTGCTGCTGCAGGAGGTGCAAAATTTATGCGAACTGAACTACTGACCAGTGCTTGGGCTGGTTTGTTTGCTGGTTGCTTGCACACACTGTCAGGGCCTGACCACCTTGCTGCCTTGGCTCCCCTCTCAATCGGTCGATCCCGGATGGAAAGTGCTGCTGTTGGAGCTCTTTGGGGTTGTGGCCACGATGCAGGTCAGGTCATATTTGGCTTGCTATTTCTACTGCTAAAGGATAGACTCCATATTGAAATCATCAGAACTTGGGGCACAAGAGTGGTCGGTCTAACTCTACTTGTTATTGGTGCTATGGGGATTAAGGAGGCATCAGAAGTCCCAACTCCATGTGTTGCCTTAGAAAATGGTGAGTGTGATGTTAGTGCTTATGAAGCATTAGAAACCCCAACAGTAGGGAAGAAGAAAAAGATTGGTTTTGCTACTTTTGCTACCGGTATTGTCCACGGACTCCAACCAGATGCATTGATGATGGTGTTGCCTGCACTTGCATTGCCTTCTCGTCTGGCTGGGGCTGCATTTCTGATCATGTTCTTGTTTGGGACTGTGGTTGCCATGGGTAGCTACACGGTATTTATAGGGTCATGTAGTGAAGCATTAAAGGACAGAATACCCAGAATAACTGAGAAACTCACATGGGTTTCGTCCCTGATAGCCATTGCCCTTGGCCTTGGTATTATCGTTAGCCAGTTGTTCGGATTCAGTTTATACTGATCTATATGGTTGCACGCTACCATTTTAGTTTTAGAGAAAGATCATTAGAGAAGAATTTCAATTTATTTAGAATTTCCATCTTTTTTTATCTCATTAAACTTTTTAAGTTTGTAATCTTCAACATACAAGGGAAAGACTTGTGTCTCTGGGAAGTATTTCTAATTTATTTGGTATAATTCCAGCTCTGATGACCATTGTTTTTGTGTTTCAATTGATACATGCATTGCTGTTTTTACTGTGATGGTAAAATGCATTAAGGAAGTTGATTGTGTGATGAGATTTGCTGTAAGCAACAAGTGGGTAGCACATGCTTTTCCATTTTCCACAGGGGATAAATCCAGCAAAAGTACTTCCAGCTCTGTATCGATTGATAGAACGGCATGAAAATAGTACGATTGTGAGTCCATGACTCAATCATATACACCAAGGAAGTGACGATATATTTGTGTTTTGCCGTCAGAATCAACACAATCACATAAATTGTGTTCTTCAAGTAAACAAGTGTCTGTCTGATTGGTATTTTGATATTTTTTAGAAAGTTTTATTTCTTGAAAAAACTATTAATTTTATGTTAAAATCAAACCATGCCTTAAACAACTAATTTACAAACACCATTTTATTCTCAAATTTTTTTCATATTGAATTTTAAATTGACTACTGCTTTGCCGTCGGAATACACACAATCACAAAGTTGTGTTCTTCAAGTAAACAAGTGCCTGTCTGATGGGTAATTTGATATATTTTAGAAGTTTTATTTATTGAAAAACCTATTAATTTTATGTTAAAATCAAACCATGCCTAAAACAAGTAGTTTACAAGCACCATTTTATTCTCAAATTTTTTTCATACTGAATTTCAATTGACTACTGCTCTTTGATAATTATCATTATTATTAATTAAACTATATAGAAAATTTAGTTTAACTACCTCTAATCATTTTTATTATAATTATCATTCTTATTAATTAACAAAGAAAAATTAAATTGACTGCAATCATGATAATTATCATATTTATTGATATTTAAATGACATCTTGTTTACTTCAATAGGTTAACAGAACATTCCAGATTTTTTTAAAAATATTTTGCTTGTAGATGACAGTGACGGTTCCAAAGACGACCATATGGAGCTCTTGCAGAATTAGATACATCAGATCCTTAAGTACAACCCTTGATTCAAAAAAAAAATCCCAGATATTTCATTGCGTTGTTTCTTAATACTTGCCTAAACCCTGTCTGCCCTAATTGCAGAGCAAAAGCTTGTATAAACCCGGCACAGCAGCAGTCCAAAGGCATATGTAGCCATGCTTCCATCTATACACCATCTAGCATTAGGACCTAAAACTCGGGCCAACGTGCTTCAACAACAACAACAAAATGTCTTTGTACCATAAAGGAAAATGAAAAGAATACACTCTGCAACATGGTAGAAAAATCCGTTGTCATGTCGTCGCTAAGATGTTTTAAATTCATGGCCTGTTATATAAGCTTTTCACATTGCAACATCAATTGAAATTCGGCACTTTCAAGTTTCAATAATAGAAATGAAGACTAACAGACTGTACGTTATCAAGTCTGATGCAGCTAAGGCCCTGGAATCATACAAACTGAATAAATCATCATGGCCTCTCCTTTTTGTTGATATCATGAAGCACACAAACATCCGCAGCAGTTTTCATCTGAAATCATCAAAAGAATTGCAGAAAAACTCAGATCACGTCAAAACATTGAGGCAACCGAGTATGATACGCTCTCTGAAATATATACTACTCAAATTTACAGACTTTTGCTGTACTTGGGCGAGATAGATGACATGTCTAGAATTGAGTAAAATCTATGACGACCAAAGTTCATCTGAGACAAACCTTTGACTGCTACAAACTAAGTGTTGATGTGATCACCTTAGTCAATTTTAAAGAAGAATTTGAATTGATAGCACAAGACTAAATGCCATCATGGCTAATAATCTTGTTATGCTACTACAAAGCAAATCAGTTTTCTACCAAAACAAGAATTAAATTCAACAAAATACTGAGAAGTTTTAGCTCAGAATCTGGGCAAGGCACCAATCACATTTTACGCAAAATGTGGATACAGGATATGCGCATCAGTCACCAATTTCAGGAATCTGAAAAGCTAATATATCAAAAGATATACACGAAGAAGAATCTCAGCATCCACAATTTTCTTTGTTGTCTAAAGAATGACATGACATAGTTTGTAACAAGATAATAGAGGTATTAGCTGGTACCTGGATGATATTCACAAGTTGCTTGATTGCCCATCCAAACAAACTTAAAACAACCAGGACAGAGACGAGTGAACCCTCTGTTATAGAAGCCTTTAAAACCTGAAAGTAGAAATGACTCAGAAACCAGACAAACAAGAAAAATTATCTGCTTAATACTTGATGAAAATTGAAAGGTGAACTAGTAAAATAATGAGGGCTTACATCCATCAACTTTTTTTCAGTTCCATTTTGTGCAAGAAGAAACAGGGAAATATAAAGAACCTGCAGAATTAACAGTCAGATCAAGAGAACAGAGGTAACCATTACATTACAGAAAATTTGACCAGGTAAACTAGCAGATCTAAGTCATAATTACCTCACATGCCACGCAACAATAAGCCATAAACATACGGTTTCCATAGTACGCCTTGAAAAGCCAATTAGTACTGTCTTTCACATCCTTGTGGCTAGCTTTGCCTAGCAAGAAGGTACTGCAAATTGATGTAGTAGAGATCCAATAAAGTAGAGTAGGTTACACGTGCATGTTTATTCAGCAAGATCATATAAAAGAAACAAGTGCGGGCCAAGTTATATAAAGAAAGAAAGATACCTGTACATCTGCAGCCAGTGGCTACCAATATCAAGGGCAAGCAATGACAGAAAAACCATGCCAGGCCTGCATAAAATCCAACCAAAAATCTCAGGTATTATTGTAGAAGTTCTCCAACTGTGATGCATGTGAAATCAATAGGGAAACCTTGCCTGTATACTTGGGAAAGGATTACTAGTAGACAAGCTGTGCTAATCCTGGATGAAACACAAATACATGAGGGTGAAATCCAAAAGGAACGGAGAGTGCTGAAGAAAAATTCAGATATGGTATGAGTTTGTGTTACGGAAAGAAAATACCTGTCCGTTACCATGTCCAAAACAGCTCCAAAAGTCGAAACTGAACAACAGGAAAGATGAATCAAATATTCCACCTCAGGCATTATTTATAACTAAATTGAAACTGTCAGGAATTGCGCAAACCCTTATGACCAAATAAAACATAGAAAGCATGGAATGACATTTTAATACATTATCATTAACCTATTTAACAGAACGTTTCCCTCGCCTAACAAACGGCAATCTTTCAGGAAAAAAAAAAAGAGCCAGTAACAAGGAAAGAACTTTTATAATATCTTCAAGTTGATAAGACCTTAGATTGTAGATGTTGTTAAGCTCCGTTTAGCTAAATATATCCCTGAACATTCTATCTGATTCGAACTCAAGATGTAAGGTAAAACACAATGGCTCTCGCCAAATAATCAACATACAGCAACTTTTTCAAGCAGATATTATTCAGACTATTTAGTCCCAAATTTAATCCAAAAATTTTGTTCTACGCAGATTCAACTTGTGTGATTACTAAGTGAATTTGCATGCATGCTTGAATCACGACCTTTATCATTCACATATTGAACAATAAGAAGAAAAGACCATGCCTTGATTGAATTTGCGAGCAACCCAACCATCGATACCATCACAAACAAAGCTGAAATCACAAAACACAAAATCACACGCCCATTCCTTTCACACATTGAAAAAAAAAAAAACCAATAATATTGGAAATATAAATTAAGTCAAAACTCAAAACTAAAATAACCCTTCAAGAAATACAAAATCCTCACCTGATAAAATAAAGAGCACAAAATAGCCATTTGTTAGAAAAACATATAGCAAATGCATAGCAATTCATGAGTCCTCTTGTATACCCTAAGTGAATATTCACCAAAAAAACAAAAATCCCATGAATCAAAACATCATAACATAAACAAAAACAGCAAGGAAATGTTGAATAGAAGAAAAACCCACCAATAATATTAGGAATGTAAAGATAAACACTTAATTTGCTTGGTTTTATTGGTCTTGACTTGTTGTTTTTAGCCATTGAAGAAGCTTTCTATCACAGCTGCAACACATCAAAACACAACACAACATTAACTATTCATATCCACAGTTTCCAAGACAAAAAAAAACAAGAGAAGAACAATAAATTGACCTGTGATGATACAGAGGTAACAGCAGTGAACCCAAAAAAGGGAGTAGTGGCAGAAAACCCAAGAAAGAAGATATGGGCTCTTTGTGTTTTCAAGGGTTAATTGCGGATTAAAACTAGATTTTGGGTTTTTAGGGTTCTGATTATAGTTAGCTTGCAAGTGGATTTGATTTGTTTGGGACAGGGAGGGAGCTGGAGCTGGAAGGCAGGAGGGAAGGAGGTGGTGGGGAATCTGTAATTTGCTTGCTTTTGCTGGCTAATTATGTAAATTAATGGGTAGAAATTTTATTTCTCATTAAAAGTTTAAATAGTTGATAACTAGGCAATGAGGGCATCTTTCTAGTCGTTAGTCCGGTCCCTCTTAACTATATACTTGTTAGATACATACTTAAAATCCATACTTTAAATAAAATAGTGTAATATTGAAAAAATTAAAAAAAAATTCTAAGATGCTCTTCCTTAAAGATATTTGAAGAAATGAAATGAATATAACAAGGGTAATACAAGAAGTAAAATAAATTTAATTTCAAATTAAACAGTATAATTTAATTCAAGACAACCCGTAAATGAAATCCAACCAAATAACTCTGGATAATTAAAAAAAAAAATCAAAATCAAGACAATATCATTAAAAAAAAAATACCAATCAACCAAGTATTCCAATAACTCCAATTTTAAACCAAGGAAGATCCCAAAGAGTCCGGCAACTTTCAATGAAAGCTCAGGAACCATGGAAGTCAAAGCTTCCAATACCTTGCTTTTGGCCATAGCCATAGACGCCATCAATATTCCTTGCCTCTGTCATTGTTTAATCCTGCTATTTCTTAGCCCTAGGAGCTTGGTCCACATGCATGGCCCCTGAAAATCGCTGAGACGTGATGAGACAGGAAGAACCACCTCCTCAAGATTCCAATTTGCC